CGTATGGCTCAGACATGCCTTCCGCCATGAACATCTACACAACAAAGACACAGACTGCACAGATGGTCGAAACTGCGTCCTGGGGATTTGTCCCGGCGGTGCTGTGTCAGGAGTCTCTTGGATGGTGAAATGCTGTGAGTCCTGGCGAATCTTGGAGCCACGGAAGACTAAACTGCCCTGCTTCAGGCTATCGAAAAAATATTACCTAGGAACAAAGGGCATCGCTACTAGGAGCAAGGACGCTACTAGGGGCTCCTGGCCTTACTACTAGGAGCAAGGAACAAAGGGCCATCGCTACTAGAAGCAAATACATCAGAAATGAGTGGTGGACCAAATGTCTATCTAGAGGGACCCTTTGGGGGATGGTCAGGGTCGGCGTGCTTCATCTTTCCATTCTGACGGGGCCGACCCAAACGATTTTGTCCAATCCTCAAATGATCTCGACAGTTGCTCCTTGTACATGCTAAAGGCCACATCCATCTTGAGGTCATTCCCTTCTGCGTCCTGAACGCTAGGGGAATGTGCGTTTAGGACGTTGTGTCAGCCGTCACGCAATGCTCCGTCACGCAATGCACATGTCATCACCACCATTTCGCCTGCTTTGGCATGCCCCCGCTGTTCATCACATTCGCAACCTGTGATGTGCGCAATCATCCAAGACACTCAAGAGAGTGAGCATTGGATCAATCAAACTAGGTTCAACAAAGGCTTTCCGCACCAAGTAGTTCTCCATGTTATTCCCAAAGCTTTGGTTTGACACTCACAGAGGGGCAAGGCAAGGGGTGCAGCTTATTCATATTTATCTCAATTGAAGAGAGAGAGAGAGAGAGATACAAAAAAATAGATCTGTATTGAGGGACTGACTGTACAATTTTGCGGACCCTTGCAAATTTTGTGAGCTGGATTCACATACTCCACCCCAACAGCTTGTCCCACCAAGCTAGTCGTATCTCGGTGATCACGTTGCTCGACATAGTTGTCATCCACATCCTGGTGCTCGGTGCCAGTCAAGTGTAAATCTTACATTACCGGCCCCTCAAAATCTAGCTTACACCCTGTGTCTTCTCCAGCTGCTGCCCTACTGGCTACCCACAGTCCACCCCCTTTAAAAAAATAACAATAACTCTTGAGTTTCGAAGGCTTTGTCCAGAAATCTCCAAGATTTCTCCTTGCGCACGTGCATGGAGTACAAGAGCTTGGGCTCTGTGACCAAGCAGCGGGTCACCAAACCTTCAACGCCTCAGAGGTCTTCGGTTCTCTAAAGAGCCCACGATCTTTTTGACAGAACATGTTCTTTCAACGGTACTTTGTAGATCTGAGACTTGGGAATGACTTGGAACTTCTTTTTATCGATCAGCTAAGTTTTGTGAAGGTTTGCCAACACCCCCATCACAGTGAAGCCATCAGATCCAAGCTTGCGGCACATCAGTTGCCCCGTGGATTCGGCTGTCATGCCACGCGGAGTGACCTGAAACGTGGAGCTTCAAGCTACTCGGAGTTGGAATGAGGCGAGTGATGAAACTAAGGAAGATAAGGTTTGTTAAAAGGCTTTAAAGGGGCTATTACCTTTCTTTTTTCATATCTTTCATCTTCCTATCCTATCTTTGTCATTATACAAGCTATACTCATGGTCTGATTGTAGTTGAAATGAAATTGTGATTACTGAACAAGGGCTTCATATTAGATGCGATATCCAAAAGCAACTGAAAGAACTATGAAGGCCGCCACCAAAGCAACTCACCCGGGAGCCCAGCATGGTTGCGACCAAAGGCCCCTTGCAGGTCCAAACGCAGGGTCTGCTTCAGGCTTTTGACGACCTGTCAACGGTGTGGTCTTCGTGCCTTTCTTGACCATGGAAACTCTGGAAGATCAGTGATGCCACCGACTTCACTGTCCAACTGCCAGTCACTCCAACTGTCACATAAAATGTCCATTGAAAAAAAGAGAGCAAGAGAAAGCTAGGAAAAGGACACCTCGTTGTTCTTTTGGTGTGCTTTAAGTCAACAAATGCTGGGATGCTTCTTTGACCGCACCTTAGGAGCCGTCTCTGAGAGGAAGCTTAAGAGACCTTCCTCGTATGCTGGCAGATACTTTACTGGCTCCTGGCAATCTGAATCCTTCCTCCCTTCTTGTCATATCCTTTTCAGATTAATTTGCGTTTTCGTTTGCCTAGTGAGATTAAATGGTTGGGAAAAGAAAAGGAACTTGTTAAGGCATGTTAAGGCTACCTCGCTGATGAACATGTCAGCATCTGGAGAATCATCCAGGTTTCCTATTGGATTCCAAGAAAAAAACTGCATGCATCGAAGATCAACGACAAACATTGCCATTGCATCGACGTCCGGCCGAGAATGTCGAGCTGAGCAGCTCTCCGTCCTGCATGACTTTCCTCTCGAGGCCCGGTTCAGCGCTCTGCAGGTCTTTCAGCTCCAACGGCACCCGATGATCTGGCGGAACAAATCGAGAACAGCTTTGGAACATCCACCAGCTTTGGGCCTAGTAGCTTCCTTGCTCCGTTCGTAGGGCCAGGAGCCCCTAGTAGCTTCTTCAAAAAGGAAGGTAAGGCATGGTAAGGCCTGATACTCTTCAATAGCACCTTGGAAGCACTACCTGGGTATGTCCAAGGACTATCCAAATGTCCGGTTCGAGCATGTTGTTGGAGCACGTTGGACCACCGCAAGTCTGTCGAGCCTCCGTTGGCAATACGAAGCTCGATCTTCCTTTCCCAGTCTGACCTGCGCAAAACGTCACACGCGGCGGCCAAGGGTGTCACACCCTAGCGCCCAGCTTGGCCTGTTGTTGAGCAAGAACTCCTTGAACCATCGAACCTTCCAAAAAGCACCGAAGCAATAAGAAACCATGTCGGCAAGTGAAGCGAAGGCTGGAGCTCAGCGAGCTTCTTTGCTTGCTCACCCCGCGCAATTCATTGGCTAGTGAAAGAAGCCAGCTAACCTAAGGATCCCATATCTTCTCCCACCTTCACATCGTAGGCTTCCTTGGCAGCAGTTCCCGGATCAGCTGCAGCCATGACTGGCATCGTGCGTCCAGTTCCGGCAATCCACCAGCAACCGCAGGGAGTGGGTCGAAATAACGTTTGCCAAGTCAAGTCTAAGTGAGTTCACTGAACCAACAGTTACGTTTCGAGTCCAAGTCTGGATAACTGAAGTCAACACGTGTGAAATTCATTGGCACCAAACGTGTTAAGTTGGAGGCCTCAAGCCTGTTGAGGCCTAAGTCTCCAAACTGGAGCTGAATGGAGCCTGTCCGTGGGTTAGATCACTGGATCACCCTTCGCTGGCCTTCGCTTCGGCCGGCACTTTCTCACTCGTTTGACCCGAAATGCTGCAAACGACGCGCTCTCAGAATTCGTATCCATTCCTTTTCCCCAAACATGCGACTCACGTGGATCTGAGCAATGTCTTTTTCGGTGCCTCCTGCTGTCCTTGCCTTGAGAATCATTGAGTACTTCTGATTTCAGGACATGTCAAGACAAAATCTGCTGCAGCACATGAAGGCCAAAGCGCTCTCATCACGACATGAAGAACATAGTAATCGACCATCTTTGATCAGTCTTGTGGCTTTTCAATCTTGGGAAACCAGTACTTCTGACAAACAGATTTTCTGTCCAACCCCTTGCAACTGTGAGGATTGCATTGCAGCATGCCGCGCACACCTTACCAATTACAGTACTACCCTTCCCCCAGAGTTTCTGGCGGCGGTGTAGACAATGGCCGCACCAAATGGAAGACCTGAAATTCGGGACTTCATGCATTCCATCTACAAAATTCACACATATTTGAACGACATTGAAGGCCGTTTGGAGGTTTCTTTCGGAGCGAAAGCTTCACCCTACCTAGAGAACCAAGAACCCCTAAAAATGTCATACCCTGAAAATACATGAGGTTTTTAAAGAAAACACGAGTTTTGTTGACTTCCTCAAAACGATACGATTGCCTATGGGATTCTACGGGTTTTCTACGGTTTTCTACGGGTTTTCTACGGTTTTTATACGGGTTCGAAACTTAGTGCCTTTGAAAATGATGTGTTCGACAGAAACACAATGTTTTTAGTCAAGTGGAGCCAAAACACGATGTTTTCCATCAGACACGACAAATTCGTAGGTTTGGGGTTCCACAGGTACTAGGAGCAAGGACGCTACCAAGGGCTCCTGGCATCGCTACTAGGAGTAAGGACGCTACTAGGTGCTCCTGGCCTTACCAATAGGAATAGGAGCTAAGGGCATCGCTTCTGGTTTGGAGGTTTCTTTCGGAGCAAAAAGCAAAGCTTCACCCTACTTGGTCTGACATTGCTGTGCTCTTCGGACTGCGGACTGATGTGCCCGGCACTCATTTCGCAGGTAGGCCTCGATGGTTTCGCTCCAGCCCAGGGTCCTCAGAGTTTAAGTAGAAGTGGATTCTGTTTGTTCTTTTTCGCCGCGGAGTTGAAGGGCCAAAAACAAAACCCTTCATAAATACCATGATCTCTTTGCACAGCGCTTGCAGGTTCTTGCAGCCTACTGTGCGGCACAGATCTACCAAGACCGCCGGCTATGTCCAAGCCTGCTCCCTGGTGCTTATAGGCCTTATAGGTAAAAAAATAGAGTATCAAAAGAAGGGCCTTGGGTCTCTTTAACAAACATGGAGGTCTTATTTTCCGAGGCCCTTACATCCGTTCGTCTCTTTTTTGTGAGTTCTGCCATGGCTATCACCAAACCTCCATTCGCTTCTTTGTCTCCGCCTTTTTCTGCCCGGTTCGGCCTTCGCCCCGACATTTGCCGGAAGCTGAAAAGCGGGAGCTCCGAACCGCTGAAGCGCGGTCAGGTAAAGGCGGTTTCTTTGTCAAATCAAGAGATGACTAAGTAGACACCTTATTTGAAGCATTGAGGGCGATTTTTTCGAGTGAACAAGCCAAGTTCGAGTAAAAGATTGAAAGCATATCTTGAACCACAAAAATCCAGCAATTCATGAAATCTAGAGCGAAAGAGGACACGCCGAATGGCTTCAGAGCGCAAGAGCCAGGAGACGGCCCGCTCCATGTCGTTCCTGTGCCTGGCATCACTGGAGCCCTGATGAGCCCTGACGAGCCCTGACCTTTTTGGACAAATCACCGTAAAATCAGCTTCAGCATGCCTCAGCTTCATATAGAAACAACATTAGACAACCGAATTTGAATAATTATACACTCCCTGAAACTATCATTATCATTATGGTTAAGTGGATATCATGGCCCCTTGGATGACCGTTTTTCCGACTACCAAACAGGTGGTGAACTCCAGTTCCATATGTTCGAAGTGTATGCTTTCTGGAGATCAAAAGCAACCGATGATAGTGAGAGAAGCTGTTCACTCAACTTGGACCTCCGCCTTGAGCTTTGCCAGCTCGGCCCAAAGAGGAGCCAAGGCCGGGCTCGGCCAAATCGGTGCCTGTGATCTCCGCACTTCGAGCAAAATCTGCAAACATGTAGAAATGAAGACGAAACATGTAGAAATGCCTTTGTTACTCTTTTCTGTAATTGTGATGTATACTACTTTTTCTCACAAGTTGGGCAAGAAATGAGATTCATCCAGGTATAGTTCAAGCTTTCTTGCTGGAATTAGTTCTCAACATACCAGCAACAAAGTACACCCTCTTAACATGCAATCTTCACTTGGGTACCACCTTCCCAAGCACCCATCTCCCGGATTCTACGACCCTGTTGAGTGTGTTTTGCACACTGCCCAGACATCCTTAAAGTCGAAGACTGCTTCGGTGCAGCGAAAGAAGGTGTAGAAGAGCGAGGCCTCCTAGTGGGAACACAATCAACTCCCAGTGATTCCGAACGTGAAAACAGCTCGAAACGTGAAAACAGCTCCAAGTGGCAGAGTCACCGTGTTGCTCAATGGTGTCCCAATTCCTCACCTCTCTGCAGCGGTACGACACATTGATTCACAGTCCATAGCGTTTCGTTTCAATCGCAGCAATGCTCCTCCTGCAGCCAACCACGCTGGAGAAGCAGGCCCAGACCCTCCTTGTCAAAATGAACATGCTTAAGTCTAACGTTTGCAGAGTGGAAGAGAAGATGCTCCGGATCCCAGCATTCCTCTATTTGATTACGTTCCCTCCAAGTCACATACCAACATCGTCACAATGCATGACAATGTAACAGGCTACTAGGAGCAAGGACGCTACTAGGGGCTCCTGGCCCTACTACTAGGAGCAATGTTCGCTACTAGGAGCAAAGGGCATCGCTACGAACGGAGCGATCGGACGCTACATTCGGGGCTCCTGGCCTTACTAGGCACAAGAAGCTATTAGCCTATTGTTTCTACTAGCTTCTTGTTACTACTAGTAAGGCACCTGTTACTACTAGCGATGCACTTGTTACTACTAGCTTTCTGTTTTTCATCCTACGATGTCCTACTTACGCCCTTCTCCCGTCTGAGACTCTTTTTGGATCGGGGAGGACCCCGTCTTGTCGACTAAGCCTAAAGCTACTCCGGCATAGCATGAGGCTTGTCTTGGAGTTCACCTCTTTGCTACCAGTCTTAAGGAATTATATAGATTGTAATTTTCTGTCTTTATCCCTTTTATTCCTTTCATGTGTATGCTTTGTATTCCTTAGACCTTTAGACCTTTCTTCTTTTGTGTCCTTTCTCTCTTCCTGTCCTTCCAAGAAGGCTGCAGAATGTTTTTTGTGCTTGCCCCCATACTGCGCTCTTTGCATGTCTATCTTGTATACACCGTTGCGACTGAATCTCTTTCGCCCTTTTTATTGTCCGGCTTGAATGTATACTCCCCTCTGAGCCATTCTGACCTTCGCTGAATCCAAGCCCACACACCAGCGACGGCGCTTGGCATAAGCGCAAGTCCTCAACGAACCCGGCAAAAGTCGGTTTTTCAAACAAATTTTACATGACTCTAAACAAGAAGCTATAGTAGAAACAAGTGCATCGCTACTAGTAACAAGTGCCTTACTAGTAGTAGCAAGAAGCTATTAGAATCAAGCCTGGATTTGGTCAATTCACATCTGCTTCATGATTCGGAATAAGCCCTGAGGCCCAAGTCCTATCCAGAACCAAAGAGACTGTTGGGAGAAGCCCTTCCTGGCCGAATTTGATCTGTGTGACAGCTCGATGAGTTTGATTGGATATTCCAGAATGGTAATGTCATCGTTAGATCACCATGTTATGTTCTTTCAAAAGAGTCAGCATCATGATGCGTCATGTTCATAAACCACATCACCAGCATCATCCTGCTCCACTAGAGGAGCTTTAGAAATGCCAACTCACAACACCAAGTCCAAGGAAAGCTATTCTGAACCACTAAAGCCCAAATGTCACGAACAAGAACGCATTGCGTTGCGCCACACCAACAGGCTTGCTGCCACGAACCACTTGTCTTCGTACACCGTTACCGTTGTCCTTTGTGGTCATATTGTAGCACTGAACACCAGAGAGCTGTTGTGTCTCCGTTTGCCTCGGCCAGGGTGGCGACCGCTTGCAGTGCCATTTCTGCAGCTCGGCAGCGCAGGCCCTGTAGCACCTCGGAGCCGCTTGCACGAGATTCAAGAATCTAAGAGCCCCGAATGTGGCGTCCTTGCTCCTAGTAGCGATGCCCTTTGCTCCTAGTAGCTTCTTGCTCCTAGTAGTACGGCCAGGAGCCCCTAGTAGCTTCTTGTTCCTAGTAGCCGTGACAGAGGAGAACATGAAGAAAGTTGAAGACGAATGCGACAATCCCAGCATTCTAGAATCGTAGAAAGGAAAGTTTCAGAACGATGAAGTGAAGCCTCGAAATCGTGAAATCTGCCAGGCGGCCACCGCTTTCCGTGCCATGGCAGCCTCACTCTCGCAGAGGACCAACATGGCTGAAGAGCGCAGGGCTGCCAAAGCCGCCATTGGCGTCACTGGGCAACAAAACAGACCCTTTCAGTTCTAAATGGAAAGCCTTCTTGAGAAAGGAATAATGTATACAAAAAGAAAGAAGATGGGACCAATACGGAATATGTCGAAGGGGGTCCAAGATCTTGTTCTTTAGCCTTTACACATGTTCTTATCCGTTATTTCTTCCTTTTAGTCTTTCTGTAAGCGCTTAATTCCAAGAATGTCGTGAGGGTCCTGTCAAGACTTTCTATGCCACGACAGTGGCTAGGACCGCTTAGCAAATGAATGAGAAAGCACTTGATCATGAGAAAGAAGCCCCATGACTTGCGAAAACCATAGGCAACCTATGTCCCCACATGTCCCCACACACCATCGGTTTGGCAGACTGGGGTGTGATGGGGAGGTCATGAATTACTAAAAGCCAAAGTGGCCTCAGATCGGACTTGAATGAAGCTGAAGCTGGTTAAACTTTCCAAATTTGCAGTGAAATAAGATGAAATAAATAAGTACCACGTGCAGTGCGCATAATCTTGTCTCACTTCACGCTACTTCTGCTACTTGATCGTTGAGGGCTGGAAACTTGTGCTGAGGCGTTTGCTTTGCCGACTCGAGCGCATTTGAGGTATCTGCGCGAGTGACTACCTTGCAGTCAATTGTGACACGCTGTCGCTCTGATCCAAATGACTTGAGTTAAGCGAACTTGGATGTTTCCACAACCGCGGAACTTCCCAAAGTTCTGCCCTTCTTCACCAAGAGAGTCAAGAAGTCGCATCCAAGAAACGACACTGAGGTGCCCAGCTACAACCAAGGGGATGCCAAGGTTGTAGGCCAGCACCAGCTCGTCGCTTACTGCAGCATGACGATAGCATCGTACTTACTCCGGGAAACCCGGAAAGGTGTCTGCTTCAAAATCCTGGAAAGCTGCATAAGATTAACAAAAGGACCAGAAGACATTCAAAAACAATACAAAAAAGTGCAAATGTCAGGGTCATTAAGTCATTCAGGGTATTTTTCAATCTATTTCATGAGGGACCCTTCATGAACCCTTTTTAACACACATCTGTCAATGTCATGGACTTGGCCCTGTTCGCTCCCTTCCAGCCTCTGCTTTTGGAGTCTCCCTGCAATCGGATCGAGCCGACATGTCGTGTCAGGGTTTTTTGGGCAAAGCGACGGAATGGTGTTTCTCAAGTGGCCGTTTCCCCAGGCAAAGTCAGGGGGCGAGTCTTTGAAGCGGCAACATCCCATGTCAATGGGTACAAATCTCAGCCGGTCTCAGCCGGTCTCAGCAGCAAAGCTTTTTCACAGATTGTGCAGAGCAGCGATAACCTTAGTTGCCTTAGCTTCCAGTTACCTTAGTTGGCTACATGTTGGTACAATGTCCTGCAGGTCCTGTTTAACTCGCGAAGGGAACACTGACTTCGTTCTGGCACCCCCTTGCAAAAGTTTGCGAGAGTCCGGAAAAGCTGGTCACACGACTTGGTTTCCTGCGATCCCTTTATGCATCTACGTCTACCCGGTCTACCCAGCAAATGAGCAAATGCGTGCGAACGAAGAAGTCGCAAAAAACGAAGATTGGACTTACCATGACTTACCTCGTGTCCTTCAAATCTGGTCCTTCAAACCAATTCGTGATTGTGCCTCAGTCTGGCCGGGCTCTGTGGCCTGTGGATACAAAAGAGCAAACGCGATTCAAGCGTGACCAACACCAACGCTATCGCTTGACGGCACCGGCTTCGTTCTGGCCGGTTGAAAAACATGACATGTTGAAAATTATGCAAGAACAATTTGGGGGGCCTCCTGTCATTGTACTGTATTTAATTGTCCCTGGCTCACAAGAATGCAAGCCAGAAGCCACTCAAATGCTAACACACCACGCTTAGACTGACAAACAACTTCCAGCGCAAGCATCCAAAAGTTGATTAGTCGTGACGTTACTGCTTGAGTTGACAGCGATCTTTACGTCTCTGAAAGCAGCAAAGAGGTTAAACCGATCTTTGCCGAAGCAGCTTTTGAAGTTTGAAGCTTCACCAAAAGAGGCCACATACCTTTTAGAAAAATATGCTCAATAAAAGACTGAAGAAAGGAAGAAACAAAATGAAACAAAGATTAGAGAGGTAAGGTCTCAAAGACTCATTCCGGGCATTCGCACGTCCGGAACTCTTCCCTTCCCCAATCCGCAACCTCTGGGCCCGGCTCTCGTGGCTCCTAAGGGCCAAAAGTAGAACAATTTGTGTAACAAGTGCATCGCTACTGGTAACGAGGGCATTCCTAGTAGCAATAGGAGCAGAAACTACTAGTAACCCTTTATGTGTTCCTTTTTTCTACTTTTGCATTGAGACATGACATCATCATTGCATCATGGCCATTGATGCCCTTCGAAGGCCTCTGAGATAGCTCAGCTAAGGCATTCTAAGGCTTAGCAGCTTCGGCGCTCTGGGGCGTGGCTCCTCATAGTTGGCCAAGCGTTCAGAGACTTCTTCCCGGAGATGATCCTGTCAGGCGCAGATGATCTTCGGCCCAAAGTGAAACACCACGTTTCAAGTACGTCATTCAGAACGACCTCCGCTTGTTGTGAGAAGAAAAGAAAGCAAGCAAAGGCACTAGAAAAGATGTACAGGGATGCACTAGGAGCAAAAAGTAACAGCCTGCTCTGATTCCTCAGACCGCTCCGCTTAATCTGACACTGACGTGTTTGCTCGTTGGACTGATCGTCCCGTGCTCCAACATTGCTTCGCTACTTTGCCTGCCTGCTCCTCAAGTGGGAGCTGCTGCATCCTCAGCAACCGAAGGTGGTTTTATGAGAGTTCGCATTCATGTTGTCAGGTGTTGATACAAGTGGCTATGAAGGTTGATGTGGCAGATGTCAGTGACTTAAGTGTGTGATCTCAACAGGCCGCCAAAAAGTGCTTAAAAGTGTTCGAGGCGTCAAACGTGTAAAACAACCGGAAAAAAAGAAACATATCTAAAAACAACCAACGAGTGTGCAAGCACCGTTGATCCCCAAATCGGTCCGACGCTGCTTCACACTGTTTGGGCCAGCCACAGCTCACCCGTGAGTCGCTTCAGGATCTCCAGCCAAGTTCGCAAGTCCTACAAACATCAAGGACAAGTCCTCAACATCGGTGCCTTAAGCTAAAGTCAAACTGTGTTGTTCTTTGAGTCTCTCATTTTGGGTCTTGGTCGTGTTCTCTCTTTGAATTGTGACTGTCAGACCTTTCAATCGTTCTTTCGTTATTTTTTTGCCTTTTCTCTCTTCTTGTCACTAGTGTCTGCGATCGGCCTTTCCCATGAACCATAATAATGTTTCCCATGCATCATTTGTATTTAGAACAGAGAATCCTTCATAGACTCGACGTTGATGAGGATTGAACATGCACAAATTGAATTGGATGCAGAAAACACGTTTGAGGCCAAAAGACGGGGGTTGTCGGCTTGATCACAGCTCTTTGGCGGCCAACCTTAGTACCTTCCGCAGAAAGCCCTTGTAAGAAGGAAACAACTACGTAAAAGAGTGGATGGACAACAATGAGTCATTTCGGTAATCTGGATTTCTTACTTGGTTGCTACCAATTATATAATTATCAGACAAATGGTTTAATAGTTCCACCAATCGTGCAAGCAAACAGGCTGCTGTGTTCCAAGGCCGTTTTTGCAATTTGTCGTTGCGATCCAAACATATTGAAACACCGGTCCTCCATCATCGTACAGGGAGTCTTCAGATCTAAACAAATCAAGGCGGCGCAACGCCTCGACGCAATCCGATGCCCACGGCCGATCAGGGCCGCACATGGGAAGTCATTTTTCTGCCGAAAGATATATACCTCCAACCTAGAAGCCTTTCTTCCTAGTAGCTTCTTGCTACTCGCAGAATGTCCTCCAACCTACTAGCGATGGCCTCCAACCTAGTAGCTTCTTGCTACTAAATAAAGATATTCTAAAGACTAAAGACTAAAGATCCTAAAGTCTCACAGCAAACAACAAGTGGACTGTAGGCACGGCTTGAAGTTCTTTCTTTACCGCCACGGCAAGGGCGGCAAGGCCTGTAGAGGTGGGGAAGGGAACTCAGTCCTAAGAGTCCGGCGATAAGTCAGCCGGCTTCAGGCGCGAGAGAAGCAGCTTCTCGAACACGGGATCCTCCGGAGTGCAAATGATGCCTCCCGGTGCTTTCGGTTCACACAAATGTTGGTGAGAACAAAGAGCAACGATGTTGCAACGACAAACAAAATAAGCTACGTATGTTAGTTTGATGCTTGTTTGACAGTACTGGTGGGGTACTTGACGGCATTTAAATTTAGCCTGACAAAGTCTGATCATGAGCTTTGAGCATGTCATGCTAGTATTCCACGACATACCCAATTCATGTGATCGAAGTACCTTCATCTGATATCTCCCGAATCCGCGAGTATCTGAGCATACATAGTATCCCGAATTTATCTGAATTCGGGCAAAAGGGTGGTGCCCAAGAACCAAAGCAAGAGTGGCGAAAGTAGATGCTGACTGTAAGTGACTCCTGTAGGTGACTCTGTAAGATCCTGTTCAGAAAATGCCAAGTGTCCCGCTACTGATGAATTGGGTCTCACCCAGTCTTTTGTTGGCTGCAACTGGACATAACTGAACAAGCACTGTCACTTCTGGTGTCCTCCAGCATGAGAACCTTGGCTTCTCGCTGCACCAAAACGATGGATCATCGCTATTAGATTGGAGGCGATCGCTATTAGATTGGAGGCTATCTTGCTAGGTTGGAGGCCATTGCTAGACTAGTAGGTTCCTTAAAGTCTTTTTCTTGAGGCCAATCGAAACACTTCACTGCATTGAGCATCATTGAGCACCCTGCCGAGCAGGCGGCAGGACAATGGAAGTCTTGACCTCACCGCCCACTCGTCACCGTCCGAACCGAAACCGTCTCCAAATTCGAAACGGCGAAGTCTGGTGCTTCGATGTGCTTGGTGCAAGCCTGGCTCCGATCGTGCACATGTTCACTTGTCCGATGTCGCAGTCCTAGGCCCTAACGGCCTTTTGTCTTGTACAAGTTAACCCAATAGAATGTGAGCAATGTGTGAGTGTTCAAGGACAGGTGCACTTTGCGCATGTCGAACGCGAAGTCGCCGCTGAATAAAGGCACCGCCTGCACGCGCTTCTTCAAGTTCCGGATCCCGGGCCTCAGCGGTCGTGCCGGTGGTGCAAAGACTGGCCTTCGGAAGTTCAGTTGATGGAAATTCTCTTAAGTAATTACATCACGCTTAAACATACATGAAAAAATCACTGAAAGAGACCCGACCTTGAAAATCGACGTCTTTTTGCCTCGATCGCTTCACACTGAAACCGTTTTCATCGGCGCTTCACATGGTGTGGGCTCGAAGAACCGAGTGCAAATGCGTCTGCGGATTGGGCGACAAGTGCGGCCGCACCGCTACTCTTCCTGCGAAGAAGCAGGTAGAAATATCATCCAAATATCGAAAGAAAGGCTTTACTCATTTTGAAGGTTCCAACAATTGAGTGATTCTACTGCTGGTTGGAGGCAGGGTGTTTGTCAAGGAGTTTGTTTGATGAATTCAGCCCGGACATCAAATCAAAGCGTCTGTGTATCTGCCTAAAGCACCTGACTTAGCTGGGCTTTGCCTGACTTAGCTCGGTGGTTTGGCTCGGTCCACCAGCTGGCCTGGTCCACTGCAGTGCGCAGATATTGCGTAGAGAAACAAGAAGACGCTAAGCAATCGAGTGCCCTCCTGCGGACCAAAAATGGAATCGACTGCAGCAGCGAGGGTTGGCTGAACGGTTTTTGTTGTCACCTCCCTTCTAAGAGTGATGGCCTCCAACCTATTATCTCCAGTATTCAAAGGAGCCAGAAATATGAGATCTGTCGCGTTCCTATCACATTCCGTGGCTGACATGTTCCAAGCATGAGTTACTGGCCGTAAGGATCTCATTTAGCCATCTGACACGTTTGCCTCCTCTCCGAGACCTCTTCCAACCAACCAACTATCACACCCCAACCCAACCTACTATGTGGACGCTTGAGGGAAACGGATACCCAACATCCAGGAGCACAAGATGAGCACGGTTCTGCTTTCGCACATGTGTGTTTCATCTGGTTTTTTGCTTTTCCTTCTTTCTATCGTGCTGTTTACTTAGACTCTTAGAATCTCCCTGTCTTTCTTTACGAAGGTGCGTCCCCAAAATCGCACCTGAAAGCCGTGCGCCAAGAGCCAAGTCCCCAAGGTTGGACCCAACGCCTCTCCCAGCGCGGCCGCTGCGTTGAAGATGGAAGACCTGGTGTTGCTCGAAGACATTGGCTCAGAAAACACCCTTCAAAAGTTCAAAACCTAAGCCCTGAAAGCAAACCAGAGGTCTAAAGGTTACATGACCCTAATAGAATCAAAGAAATACAGTATAAAGAAGATTAAAGAAGTAAAGACACGACACATCAAATGTCATCATGCTTCTAGGACGTTGCAACTGACCCTTTTTGTTGAACACATATCTCCACTGTTCTTTCTACCTCTAGACCTTTTCTTTCCTTTCTTAAAAGTTCTTACATGCAAGATACACTTTGATGAAATGCGACAAGGAAGAGGTGACTTCCTGTGGCTAAGATCCCAGCACCGGTGGTGACACTTGGTGCCTTGCCACCTGGTGGCGGCGCTCAACTCTTTTCAGCCGTTGCACATCAGCGCTTTTGAGCGGTTTCCAGCACAGAAATAACCTAAAGGACCCCTTATCCGTATCCTATGATTTACACATCCGTTTGATCATTCAATGCCCCCCACAAGAACACAAGAAGTGCCTCAGGAGGGACACCGGATAGCTTCCGGGCAGCAGTCTCTACCTGGCGTTATCCCGGCCCGAAGGGGCCCCGGAACTCCAAGAATATGACATTGGGTACAGACTACCCAATTCATCCCAATTCAGCATCGGACCATACTAGGCAGCACGGGAGTCCAGCAAAGGCCCCAGCCACTACCTGCGGCTGGGGCAAGAAGCATGACGCCTCAAACCTCTTTTGGCTTTCAGTGTGGACTTTCCATGCATTGGCCAATGCAAACACATGCAAACGTCGCAGCAAGAACTCGACCAGTTGATCTGTCAAGTTTCTTCACCGGCTATTAGGAAGCCAAGCAAGTCTCACCAAAGACCTTCGGACTTTAGGAAAATGAGTAAAACGATGGATCTGCCTTTGATCTTCCTTGCGGCCAGGACACCAATCAAAAGAAGGCCGGAAACCTGTGTAACCCACGGCATGGAAGAGTGAACTCCCATCAAGAAGCAACCAACGGAGTAGATGAGCAAGCCTGCAGCGCACTGTTGAGCACGGTCAGTGGGTCGGTGAGACATAGCATGAGTCGTTTTACATCCTTCTTTGCATCAAGCAAGTAGAAGGATCAAATGAGCTTGTGGCAATCCCTTGTACGCCTTGTGTCATTCGTTCAGCTATCAAAGCACTTGGAGGCCAAAATGGACCCAGCACTTGCTGTCCTGCTGTCATCAGCCACTGTTCCCCAAGCCGATCTGCTAGAAATGGCACTGCCATAGCCCCAAAGGTACTGGGCACTGCTGACCTCAGGTTCCGTTCTGAATGGGTGCAAAGGTGCCTGAGCACCCCAGGAGGAATCCCTAGTTCAAGGCCCATATACAAGGCCATCAGATCAGGTGTTCCGGGCGGAAGATCCTGACATGTGACTGCTCCATGTGGAAAATTGTGCATTTGCATTGGCCATACATGGCATGTGGGAGACCACTTTTCCGGCGTGCAATAAAAGGGGAACGGCAATTTGGTCTGTCTGATCGCAAGAGGTGGATCATTAAGAACACACGCATCCTTTTTTGAAGCGACAGAAGGACAAATTGTCTGAATGGCACCCTGTCGCATTGGTCTCACTAGTAGCGTCCGATCGCTCCCAGTAAGGCCAGGAGCCCCGTTCGTAGCGTCCTTTGCTCCTGGTAGCCGCACGAAAAACTGTCGAGTCCAGACGACTATCCCAGGGCCCCGGACAGGGACATCAAAAAGCCGATCAAGGAGTGGCTGATGGGGCCTAGCACCTCGCGAGCGACACAGATGGAGACGATGAAAAAACAACAAACGCCGACCCGAGGAGAGTTGAAGTTTATGTGAGCGTAAACGTGAATTGAAGGTCTCCCTGCCACGTTTAGAGCAGGGTCAACTGTTGGTGGTTCAGGTATCCATTGCCGACGGAAGGTTTCAGGGTTTGGATTGCCGTTGAACACCGGGAGTAGACCGGGAGTAGGGATGAAAGCGGCTTTGAACGGCTTGATCTGTGTGTGAAGAGACCCCTTCCAGCGAGCAAAGCATTTAGAATGAGACACTCCTCGATGTGGCGTCTTCTAGAGCAGAAGGTATAGAAAAGCCGACTTGGGAGGCAGTTTCTGCAAGAGGCACCTGGGTAGACGTGGAACTGTGATGTGGAGGTGTTCCTGCTTTTACTGCCTTTTGATTGTTCAACATGCCTTTGCAATTTGCTTTGCATTAGGTGTGGCCTTTTTGCGATGCCAGAACGGGAGGGACAAGCTCTGTATTGCGCAATATTGGTGTCCAAAATAGATGGCGAAGATGCCGAAGATGCGTATATTTGAGCTCAGAATACTTCCCACCTTGACGAGAATCGTCTAAAACTCCAAAGTTTTTAAAACACGGGCGAGGCAAAATTGGAGCTCTGCGAGGCTTTCACATTGGACTGGAACACTTGGAACTCGCTTGTCTTACAGTTCACTCCAAAACCGAAAGTTTGCCAAGCCTCCATGAAGTGGTCACCTCAGCTCAAAACCCGACGGATACTGAGACCTCAACCTCCATCAACCTCAGAAGTCCTTTCAATTGTGTGGGACATGGATAGTGCAGTACCTCTTCCGCTTCAAGAAGAGATTACACAATACATTGACATCACAATACGACATATCAGTCTCTATCTCTCTCTCTCTCTCTCTTTTCAAGCAATTCTGTAACCGCAAAGCTAAAACAGATTTGCGGAGAAACTGCAACATGCTGCATGAACGTTGGATAAGCACGGCAAATAAGCTCAGACTCCTCAAGATCTTGTGACAGGCTCTCTTCTTATGGGATTGTTTTAGTTGCCTTCGAACCTGCAGGAGGACAGCTGTCTGTCCACCTCAAACCATCCAAGGGGCCCAGCAAGGGCTCGAAACCTCCCCAAACACCCAGGCATAGCATGCTGATACCCGCCAGCAGTAGCAGCCGCACTGTGGCCACGGAAAAGACCGTAACCTGACAGCTGCGCTTGATTGGTGCGATGTGAAAGGTGAAAGTGAATGTTTCCCACAATGCTTCACGTCCTATAGCTGAATGACCTATAGCATATAGCCAAGTTACATTGGGATCTTCTGCGTTCTCGGTCTCACCTGCAAACTTTGTGACTCCTCATGGTTTCAGGCATTTCAACATCTCGACGAAGCCTTCCATCAAGGGCTCCGCAGCAGTGCTTGTTGGGCCAGTACCAAGAAAGGTAATCTGGGGCGAACAGGTAACATGTCGTTGCAACATTTCGTGTGGGAACGGAGAGATCCGCAAACAACGGTACTAGGAACAAGGACGCTACGGGGCTCCTGGCCTTACTACTAAGGAGCAAGGGGACGCTACATACGGGGCTAAATAAAGCTATAGAATCTGCAAACGGCCCTCTGACGAAGTTGTATCAACTGGTGAGGGCTGATCTTCAGGACAAGGAGCCCCAATGAAGAGCAGGTGCAGGCAGGCACTCAACGCAAAGGGAGCCAGGAAACCTGCAAATAAACTCTCCAAGTCCTGGAGTCAACTCAATGGCCTCCAACCTAAGAGCGATGGCCTCCAAATAGACTCTCCAAGTCCTTAAGTCGACTTAAGTCCTTCAGAATTCAAAAATATCCTTGATTTTCCGGCCTCCATACTGGTACAGAACGCCTGAGCTGGCAGCGTGCGGCAATGAGAGTCTCATAGAAGAGTGGCTTCGCGAGGCTTCGCCAACACCAGAGGCTTCGCGATTTGGTTTTGCAACCTTTTCATACACTCTAATTTTGCCTTTTTGAAATTCAAGAGCCTACGCCAGAGGCTTCGCGAGCCTTCGCCACACATAATGTATCACACAAATGCCTTCGCAAACATTTGGCCAATGAAAAATGCTGCTCAAATGTTCCCAACACAGGCCCAACACACAGCCCACCATTCTCCGTTCTGCCAAGGATCCACCAAGGAAGGGACCAATCGTCACACCAACGTTCCCAAAGACTTCCTGCAATGTGTGGAGAACGACATGCCAAATCAACACTTTGAAGCCAAGGCTGCCTGTAGGCCCACCACCTTATTGAACTCTCCGTCACCCGTAAAGCTCCGCGCAAGACGTGTGCCTCAGCTTGAGGAAGAGATCTGATTCTGAAAGAACAACTCGAAAAGAAGCCCCTAGTAGCGTCCTTGCTCCTAGTAGTAAGGCCAGGGAGCCCCTAGTAGAGTCCTTGCTCCTAGTAGCGATGCCAGGAGCCCCTAGTAGCATCCTTGCTCCTAGTTCAATTTTGCGCTCGTTCGAAGAGAGTCGGCAAAGCTCGAGGGGCTGATGGAGGTGTAGATAGGAGCCGTAGCAAGGCCTTGCAGCGATCGCCAAAACAGCCAGCCTGCACGAAACAAACAAAACACCGCAAGAAAAACTTTACCTTAAACTTAAAAGCATTTTGAACGAGTCTTTGCCAACCCTGGGACTTTGGCTCGGCTCTCATGCTGCTGCAGTTATGCTGGTGACACCACAAATTGAGAAGAATACCAAGTCGCAATTGTAGAAGCTGGGACATAACAAAGAAGACAATTGATTTTGAGAGATCCAATGTCCAATGTTTCGAGTTGCGAGAAAGTTTCTGGACAAGCGGCAAAGGCAAGCACAAATCGATAAATTCCATTGCAGTAAACACACGATTTCTCATATGCTGCCTTCAGAGTATACATCCCACAACTGTTCAATTTTTTTCCAGTTGCTGCTACACCTGCCCAGAGTTCTATTTTACTGGGAAAGGGATTATGATTGAAGGGTGTTCACATCAAAGCCTACGGTTCACCAAAGTCACACACACACACACACGTTTTACCTTTGTGCACAAAGAAGCCTATGAACGTGAGTTTTTGGTACAAGCTTGTTGGCTTTACAACATATTCTGCCAAGCCCAAACCAGGAATTCTGCCTGAAACTGAATCACAAAGGCCAAAGCCCAAGGAGCTGATGGCCAAGAGGAGGAGGCCACTGTTGAGCATGGCCTCCACTCCAAACCTTCGGAGGCCGTCGCGCCCATTCTTTTCTGGTCTTGTTTGCTAAATAACCTTGCAACACGAACATGTGCACAGCACTCAATCTTGAAGACTAGGTGTTGTTCTACTCACAAGACTCAATTGACCGAGCAGATTCACTGATGACCGAAGCAGGATGCCTGCTGATCATGGAGCCCATTGCTAGATTGCCTGGCAGCGCTACAGCAAATTCGCCGTACAAGTACGGTATCAACGGTTGGAAAGTAATGACATAAATAGGAAGGGGATAACTCTCATCGCCAATATCCAAACATGAAATCAATAACTTTCAATCCAAGACTGTAATCCCTGTGGCTTTGAGATGAATGCACACACAAACTTGTGAAAGGAGCCTATAAAGCATGCAGTGGGCATGGCGCCGAAGATCAAACCCACAGTGCTGGTGCTCGCGTGACAGGTCTGCCACGCATAAAGCTGGAAGAAAGGACTCATCCTCAGACGATCAAGCCGTTGAGTCATTCAGCCTAGCCTCCTACGTTCAAGTGCAGATCGGGGCGATCTCTCAAAATCGAGCATCACCGTGCCAAGATCGCCGAGGCACTGCCCTTCTGTTGGCCTTCGTAAAAAGACTAATAGATATATACTAGTAGCGAACATTGCTCCTAGTAGTAAGGCCAGGAGCCCCGTTCGTAGCGTGCTTGCTAGTCGCGATGCCAGGAGCCCCGTTCGTAGCATTCGCCAGTTACTACAAGAAATAAATAGAAGCTACTAGGAACAAGTGCATCGCTTCTAGTAATAACAAGTGCCTTACTAGTAGTAACAAGACGCTACTAGGGGCTCCTGGCCTTACTAGTAACAAGAAGCTACAAGTAACAAGTGCCTTACTAGTAGTAACAAGGACGCTATTAGGAACAAGTGCATCGCTTCTAGTAACAAGTGCCTTACTAGTAGTAACAAGAAGCTATTAGTTAATTCAACTTAATTCTAATAGCTTTTTGTACTACTAGTAAGGCACTTGTTACAACTAGCGAGGCACTTGTTACTAGTAGTAACAAGGACGCTATTACCGTGCCAATATTCTGGTAGATCATCGCCATAGACAGAAAGTAGGCACCGAGGCATGTCACAAGGACCACCCCTCGCTCGCCACTCCACAAGCTCGCCATGACCCAGATGGAGTGTTCCTAATAGCTTCTTGTTACTACTAGTAAGGCACTTGTTACTAGAAGCGATGCACTTGTTCCTAGTAATTAGCTGTAAAGGCCTAGGATTTGGAGCAACTTGCTTCAACTTCTTTGCAGCGTGCTTCGACTTCTTTTGTGCTCCTTTCTGCAATGGTTATTTTTCTGCATGTCTTTTCTGCTGAAAACTCGGCACCCGAGATCGGCAAGCCCTCTCGGCAAACGTTTTTCACTCCACCCTTCAGGGCTCCAATGACACATTAAAAGGCACTCGCGATGATCGCATATGTTCCCATCAAGTGGAGTCTTTGCTGTTTAAAATGCAGCAGAGTGTGATAAGTGAAGCCCTAACTGTTCAACTGGAAACGATTGGAAATTGACTCCCAAGGCAAACTCTGCTAGTTACTGGACACAAATATCGTTTCTGATGAATGTGATTGCTCGAATCTTTGGAAACGAGAAACCACATGCGTGTTATGTATATCTTTTTGGCTAAAGCAAAAAGCTCACCGGCAGGAGACAAGTTTGGCTTGCTTTCGGGTGTGCCGAAACGCGTCTCTTCAAATTCATATTCTGGATTTTAAGAGTAAAAAGGTACGACGAGTTCTAGGTACGACGAGTCCTTCACAAATGCAAAGCTCAAGTCTGCACAATGCTCCTTCGTCTGCTTGGGGCTTCCCACACCGAAGTGTGCAAACTCCAGGCCTTGTGGAAAGGCAGAACTCGGTCGTCGTTGTTTTCGGCATTTACCATAAAAGGATTTCCCAAGGAAAGGCACCCAACACTGGGTTTCACGAGATTTTATGGATCTTAGGCTTCCGGCCCACAGCACGGCTGTGCTCAGTCACGGTCTTCAAGGCGGCTTCGGTGTTGGCTGCGAGTGGGCATGCATGTTGATGCAAAGCCTGAAGGCAAATAGCCAAATAGCTGCATGGCTTTCGACCCACAGCTTGTTGAATTATATACCATATGTCGCCTAAGATTGTTGCAAACCATCCTGCATGTATTTGCATATAATATATATATATATGATGCTTTAAACTACACGTGTTGCTTGCCGATTGATCTCGCCTGAACTAGGGAGCGTTTGCCGATTCCAGGGCCTCAATCCGTGAAGCTGGAGAGAATGAAAGCTCTCTCACGTTCCGCAACCACCACCCCTGCGACTGGTCCAACCAGAAGCATTTTGTGTAGGTTTGCGTCTGAATTATTCCAGAACCTCACAGACCATCTTCGAACATGTCTCACTCAATGACAAGAATATGACCAAACAAACATTATGAAGCTCTTAAGCAGAAGTTCTAGGAAACCGTTACTATCAGGTCATTCTCGAAGGAAAGCTCTCAAAAACAGGACAAGAGTGCGACCGAACACTTGCCATGGACTAAGATGAACTCAACTGCCCCATAGCCACTCCGATCTTCATTGGGTAAAAAGTCTTTTTCGTCTTCTTATTCTTTTTCTTCGACCTTGGGACGAGACTGTTGTCGTCCTTTCCGTTGTCGTCCTCGCGTCGGCGCCCATCCAAGGTCTCCAGCGGCCCAGGCACAAGACCTTCGCGTCCGGCGCCCGTGAGAGAGTGGCCTCGGCATTGGCACGCATAGAAGCAGAATATATACAGAAGTATGCAAATATAAAAGCATCATATACAATCATATATATATATATACATTATATTTGTAATGTTACATATACTTATACAATTCTTGGTATGAATAAGTGGATGTGCATTGTTGTTTCACCTTGGTGACATGTCATTTGGACAGTTTGTCATCGCGGTGGCGGTTCAGAGAAGCTGGTGTGACATTCTAGACCACCTGTCAAGATCCGACAAATCAACCTCCATCTGACTTTGCTGTTGCGGCAGGTCACACGAAAGCAGTTAATGATCCTCCAATGGACAGGAAATTGCTTGGAAGGGAGTGCGACGAAGAGTTCGTCGCAAGACATTGCTCTTTTGTGCCGATTGCCAGATATCATGGATAGCTAGTGCTACCTGGTAGATCGATGTTACTTTGCAGTTGATTCATTCAAGTCTGCTTTGTGGCATGCACAGTGTGCACCCACAACCCACCGTCACCCGCCAACCTCTCCTGGTATGCATGATGACGATAAGGACATTGACAAAGGCATGCAGTTGGGGGCATAATAAAGCTTTCTAGTAACTAGAAGCTTCCTTGGGAATCGTTTCACTTGGAATCGTTTCACCTGTAGTAACAAGAAGCTTTTTAGTATGTCTTTGAAACTTCTATGTGCAATTAATTCCTTTACTGCAAAGCTATCCATGCCTTGTCCCTCGCATCCCTCGCTAAGACTCAGCTGCTTCTGTAAGGAGGCCCTCCCAAATACCTGATGCAACCAGTGCCAGAGGCTTCGTGCTTCAGGTCTTTCAGCACTGTCTGTCTGACCACAGAACAAGTTTATCGCTGCACTAGCCAACCTGGGTTGAAATTATATAAGTCTGTCACCCGAAACAAAGACTCGAACATACATACTGTAAAAAAAACACTTAAGACACATGTGCACAATCTTCAGAGAATGTCAAAAACTCGACAAAGAAGTCGAAGAATCAATGACCGCCCGGAGAGACAAAATGTACTTAGTAACTCTTAAGAAGCTACTAGGAACAAAGGGCATTTCTACCAGGAGCAACGAGGCTACGAACGTAGCTCCTGGCCTTACTACGTAGTAATAAGAGGACGCTACTAGGAACAAAGGGCATCGCTACTAGGAGCACGGACGCTACTAGGAACAAAGGCGGGCAATGACCTGTCTGACCTGTCCAGTCAGGCCTCGGTCGGAGACTGCAATGCTTTTGCTTCGAGTGCTCCTCTTGGAGTATTGACCATCAGCCTCACCGTCCGGATGGGAAGACACAGAGCCAAGGAGTTCCAAACAAGAGGCGATGACAGTCGTCATGCGTATCCGTCGCACAAAGCAAATGACTTCTCTCATGCTTCGATTCCATCGTCCAAAGCCTCAGTGATGCCTGTTCTGAATTTCAGTTGTTGATACACCTTGTTATATGTCCTTGATTTCTTATCGTTGCTGTCTTATCTTTCTATTTCCTATCCATCTTCAGGCTGACCGTTTACATAAGGCGTGTCATGTTTCCGATTTGTCTGGTGCATCGCCCAAAGCCCGAATGAGGCTTTCACCTTTGTTCCCATTGCGCATTTGCTGGCAGAATCGAAACCGGCGGTCCGACGGTGCAACGGTGGCGCTTCTTTTTCAGAGTGACATCCTTCCGGACATCGTGTGGCTTTGTAGCATTGAGAGTCATTCTTCGTGCTGGATATGTCAATCAGTTGGTCCTCTTCCAGAATGGAGTATAGCGACGGTCTCATGGTTCTGAAGGGGCGCCTTTGAGATTGACAAGTTGAGGCAAAAGCTGTGAATGTGCGTCCAGGCATTCTGATTTTTGAAACAATAAATATTGATATGCAAATCCTCGCGAGCCCATCACGCAACATTTCAGAGTTAACTTCTTCGGGTTGGAACTCCATGCTTTCCAGGTACGAGTTCTTGAAGTGTAGAGGGACTAAAGTTTGCCGAAGTCTTCCAACCGGTCAAGTCTGTGAAAAACAACCCAAGGTTCAACCACGCTTATTCTACCTCAAAGCATCAACTTGCAATGGTACAGTGACAAAAAGCAAAAAGCGTTCATACTCCGGCAGGACATGTTGTGATCCTTCACTTCGTTCTACTCCATCACGCATGACATGATCAAAAAATAAGGTTGCAGGTTGCAAAGCTTCTTTCACAGGTCGAGCACATATGGCAAATGACACTGTGTTGGGATACCCGTGAATCATTCATAGCCCGCTAACTGCTCCTAGTTGAAGGAAAATTTGGATTTCTGTAGACTATAGCAAGCAAAACCTACAAATCCAAGCATGAAACACTATCCACAGAGATCCCACTGTAGAGTAGAGTTGCATTGGCATGCTCACAGGGCTGGTGGCTGTTCCACTTTGCCCTGGGCCATCCTACCTACTTGCTGGAGCAAATTCACATCTCACTATGGAACCTCCGAGCCTATCACTTGACAAAGCTGGAAGTGACATCAACTAAACAGTCAAGCAAATCAGATGAAACATGAAGGTGTCAGGCTCTAGATTATCGAAGTGTGATGCTAATCTGTGGTGAAAAGGTTGTGTCCGGAAAACGGTGTTGCAATGTGTGTCGTTTAATATGATTTTCCTCTTTGAACTTTGCTTTTCTTCCCCTTTAAGCAATACATTCCCGTCCGCTTTGCGATGACTTGATCAACTCCAAGCCTTGAAGTCCACGAAGGCGCCCCAGCTGAGGCTCAAGCTTCGTCCAGCGCTGAACCCTCCGCGAAATCCTTCACGGACCGTGTGCCGTGCCATAGCCCCATGTCAGCCCCATGTCTCCAGAAAGGTCAATGCTCAACCTACAAGTACGTCCTTCCCGGATGAGAAGACTAACAATGTTCCCCAAGTACTTGCTTCAATCATGCGTTTGGGAGTGCCTAGGATTGCAATGCTGGCGTTGGCCAGGTAACGTGTTTTGATCTTCCTATCTTCCTATCTCGTTTGCTATGTCAGCAAGTCACACCAGCATTCGATGCTTTTGCGTCGTTGTGCGATTCTGTCCTTCTCATCTCGTGATTTCTCCTCGTCCATTCTTTCTTTGGCAAGTGCTCTCATCTCCTCCAGGCTGTTTGATGTTTCACCACATTGCTCTCCAGTCACCTCCAGCGCAAGGATCTCAAAGAATACGTCGTAAATGTATGAGAATCCTGTCTGTTCCACCACACTCTAGAGTCTCTACGACTTGTCAAAATTAGAAGGGAGAGTAAGAAGGAAGCTTTGTCAACTTCTTGACTTCGTTCTTAGCATGTTTGCGTGTTTGCGTGTCTCTTAGCATCTCTTAGCTCAACATCCTGCGGACCTCCGGGGCAGACACACCGACATTCGCTGGGGACCTGAGCCGTTTGGTCTAGCCAAAAACCTTGGAAACGATATGGCAACGAATCTCCCAAATCCACCGTTTTTGGCCGAGCCTGATGCTTGCTGCGTTCACTTAAGATGCTCCCAAGATGCTCTGTGACCGAAAGTGGTGCCGTCTCCCGAGCCAGCGCTGCCTGCAGATCACAGGTCTGGCACAGTCACAGTTGCTTCACTTCTTGAAATGCCAGTTGCCAATGGCAGAAGCTGAGAGTTGTAGCACAAAACACTTTGACCTTATCCCAAGTTTTGGTTAAGTCAAGTATCGAAAGTTTGCTCATAACGACGATCGGTCTTTCATAAGACCAAGTTGAAACCTGTGTCTCAGCAAAGACACTAAGAACATGTGAGAAGGCTTGTAAGCTTACATCACCTTGCACCACAGGAAGTGATGGCCGCTATCCCATGTGGCTCAATGGATCCCCATCCAACACTACTAGTAGCTCCTGGCATCGCTACTAGGAGCAAGGACGCTACTAGTAGTGTCCTTGCTCCTAGTAGCGATGCTAGGAGCCCCTAGTAGCGTCCTTGCTCCTAGTAGCTCCAACATACACTTCTTTGAGCCAGGCCCTAGCCGTTGCTGTTGCTCGCCTTGGCTTGAAGGCCTGGAACAGCGCCGACGGCACGATGCCGACGGCACGGCGCTGTCTTCGGGTCATTTCGTGAAGCGTTGACGCCTTGCATTGTTGCACTTGACAAGTCAATGATATGCGTGGAATGAAAAGTATGTGACTAATTGTGTAATGTGATTCGATTGAATGAATCCAGAATGGGACACCCCACTTGCGTCGCAAGTGGGGAAGTGTCGTGAGGCGAAATTCCTCATCTGGGAAGCTCATGATTGCAATAATGTGATGTGCCGATCGATGGCAAAATCTGAAACCCCGTATAGCCGCTAGCCCAATCATCCCATACTTTAATGGTCTACTACGTTTGGTGGATAACTATTCAGAATCTATACGTGTAGCAGTGCGCCATAGTGCACCTGTTCCTTAGTTGGAGATCCGCCCATAATTGGGTCGAGAGAGGCAAACAGACCCAAAGGGAGAAACCCATAAGGAGGCCCATAAGGAGCAATCTCGCTCCCTTGCCCTGGGGGAACCACCCTGCCGACCCCCGTTCCATCGTGCCTTTCTCACAACGAGCTTTCAGCTTTGAACTGCGGCGTGCAATGTGTGTACACGTTTGTAAAGTTCCAGTCAAAGTCTGTCGATTCCCGGATCTTGTTTGCATAGTCTGTCGACCCTTGGGCTTTGAACCAGACCAATCAGAATATAGACTTACTTAGAAAGAATGCTCCTAGTAGTACGGCCAGGAGCCCCGATCGTAGCGAACATTGCTACTTGCCAAAAAGAGACTGTCGCTTCCAACTCCCCACCTTAGGGATCGTTCCATTGGTGGCGGACTCATCAGCTCCACCATTTGCTGCTGTACCTGGACGCCCAGCGGCGCTCGGTTCGCGGAACGGTTCGGAACCGAGCAAATCGGATGCTGGACTCGTCACACGTGCTGATACATGTGTGCCCAATGAGCAAGAAGCACAGCAAGACTGAAAGTTCTCTCAACCTGAGCCAGGTAAGAAACAAGTGAAGAAAACTTGAAATAAGATTGAAGATCCAAAAGTTTGGACCGAAACAACCCCACCCCTCTCCTCTCGGCAATGACTATATGTAGATTCAATGGATAACGAATGTGGAGAATGTTGAACGTATCAACCTAACCTTGGGGTTCAAGCCAGGGCAACTCATGTGCACTCCTTTTAAAACAAAGCAAGGATCGAAAGCAAACATAATTCATAAAAGGACCGTTTCATCGTAGCATGCCGTATCTAAGATTCGTGGTGTCCACCAAGATGCGCCAAAACGTCGATCGCCATCAAAAGAAGGGATCGCTAAGACGTGTTGAGCACAATGCCAAGTATGCAAGGAAAAGTGTTGCGCACGTGTTCCAATAGCTCTGCCTGAGCTGTGACTTCACTCTGCATTTGTGCCAAAGCCAACCGCGTCACCTCGCTGAACGAACGGTGCGCTTCAAGTGATGAGTCACCGAGTCCACCAAACTATGGGAGGTTGACATCGGTCAACCAGGGTGGTGTTGACCCACTGTATAACCAATATTGAAATCGATTATACTGTATACCTTATAACATCTTATACCTATATAGCAAGATCCTCTTCTGTTTGTCTTTCCTTTTCTCTTTGTTACAATACCTGTCGGCCCCTCGGCCTGTCGGTCATACCCTATACAGTATCCAGTTATGAGCAACCAGATTGCAACGTGTACGTTCGATGACTTCGTCACATTCGACGAGCCTCTAGGCGCTCCTCGCATGCCGCTGCCTCTGCCTGAACCTGCCAAATGTCAAACATCGATAATTGATGACGGACAAGATTCCATGTGCTTGTCAAGCTTTGGTGGAATTAGAACTCTAAAATAAAATTGCCAAAAATTGGAAATTCAAGAGGCTGGATCGTCCGTCACGGACAAGTGACCAAGATCTACAATTAGTTACACCATACATAGCCCAATCTTGTTGCAAAGTAAGTATGATACTTGACACTGAAATCAGCATACGTAAGGTCCACTGTATCCACCTACACGTCAACCTACTTGCCTCCCAGTTGCTGAAGCGGTGGCATTTGCTGTGACCTGCAAGATGGAGCACGTCGACGAACAGTTATTTTCCTCTGCGCGCCATGTCATCGAACGTCTGACGGGCTCAGTTGATGCCTCGCAAATGCAGCTCCAGCTGCTTCAGGTCAGCGAATGGCCTCGGGGTAAGACAGCAACTGCAAAAATCTAGCTTCTTGTTACTAGTAGCGATGGCCTCCAGCCTACTTGCGATGGCCTCCACCTAATTGCGTCCTTGCTACTAGTTAAGACTATGTCGTGGTCTTCCTAACACTCTTGAAGAGAATTATGCGCAGTGGCCTAGTCTTGGTACTCTCCATGTAAAAGCTTCTCTTTTGTTGCCTCCTAAACCATGGATCCATTGGTCCATACAGAGTCATTGCACAGACGTGTGCCGCAAGGAACAGAAAAAACACGTTTCTCATTCTCAATTCACAATCAAGGAATTGTCTAAATCTGAATTTCTTAAGCTAGCTTCCCTAAAAATCTAGGAACCAAATCATTTAGTGCGAACGCTTCTTCAAGGAAGCTTCCTTGAAGAAGCGCGAGCTGTCCTGCTTCCTGTCGGTAGTAGCTTAAGTAACTAGCTACCTCCTAGCGGCCTACCCCCCCCAATCCCCTGCGGGCTAAAAAAATAACTCCCAAAATTGCAAACTGAAGCACTACAATTTAAACTAAATTAATAGCTTCTTGTTACTACTAGTAAGGCACTTGTTACTACTAGCGTGGCACTTGTTACTAGTAGTAACAAGAAGCTATTCTACACACCTGGAAAGGACCTCACTCATTCCGAACTGCACCAGTCATCTCACCTCCCCTTGGGCGCTGCGCTCCAGTTGAAGTGCCTCACGCAAATCTCACTTTCGGACAGAATGAGTGCAAGTCACACTGGCAACAGCTTGGAAGGCGTCAAACGGTCTACACATGCCTGCACAGTGCCATCTATCTACACATCTCTTGGGCCGCCTTTGTTCCATCACCTGGAATAGTGTCTCAGGCATGTTCCTTTTAGGAACAATCATGAGGTCTTCCGGTCAGCTTCTCATCCTTCGTCCTCTACGGCAGACTTTGGACTGGCCAACCTCCTGTTGGTGGAGGCACGTTGCTCTCGCAAAGAAATTTGAGCTCACTTGGATCAGCATCATCGTAGATGCTCTTGCCAGCAGAGCTCAAATACGTCCAAATCTCTTGCCGGATACCTTCAGTCAAAATGTCAACACAAAATGTTTCGTCCCATATCCCGGATATCCCTCTTTACATCACTAAACAATGTACAGTATCGATCCTTTTAGTCCTTCCAACGCAGAAGTTTCAAAGCATGGCCGGGCACAGGATGCAAAGGAGTGTGGCTTTGTTCCACGCGTCAAAGGTTTTTCAGAAATCTTGATCATGAACCAACACAGCCACGGCCACACAAATTCAAGATTTAACCAATAGACTTCCAGAGGTTCGGAGACAAGTGTCCAGCCTCTCAGTGTGCCCGAAATAGCATTGATTACCAACTGTTCTTCCCTGGGTCACCTCTGAGGCATGACAAAAGGGGTTATGATTCATCATATCCAATGAGCACTATCCCATTCCAGCTTGTTCAACCTGCGCAGTGTCACCTTGCCCTGCATCTTCTGTTGGTATTGGAGCTTCAAGCTTTGTGTCTTTGTAAGTAAACAAGTGATGTTCTGGGGGCAAGCACACAGGACTCCACAGGACCTATCCTCTAAGCCAAGTGCAGCTTTAACGCTCAAAGAAGTCTGGGTGGTGTTGGACCTGCTTGAGCAATTTAAAGAAGGGGTGCGAGAGGTGTATGTGCCCACTTGTGTGAATGTTTTAGTGTTTGAGCCCACATGTCATCCGTAGCTGCTTGGACTGCGAGATCGTGAAGGTCAGAGTGGGAGGGCCCTTTCGTTCGCGTTGTGAGGCACCACATCCCAAAAGTTCTTGGAGACCTTCTGATCCCTGCGGATCAGTACAGAAGCAGGGAGCATGAGGAGTTGGAACGGAATATATAGAGATATCAGTGGTGCGATGTTTGCAAGTTGAAGCTACAAGTACTGTGGGGATTTCACAGTCAAGGTTCGATTTAAGTCTGTATTATAAGCATGCAAAATGTGTTGTCATCCAAGTGCGATGATACCTCTTTGCATTGTTAATGCATCCAAAGTACATGGCCTGAAGTTGTAATTCTGGAAATAGCAAAGGTGTGCCTGCATAACGCCCAAGCGCCAAACGCCAAAAACAGTGTAGAACATGACCCTGAGCTGAACATGGAGATGTCCAAGCCAGCTTGGGGTGTGATTCCATGCCGAGCTCAAAGGAGTCCATCGGATCATCTGGGATATTCACCCGGCACGTACGAGCACGAACGAAGCAGCTACATACGAACGCCGCAGCTTCAATCAAGTGGTTTTCCGTCAGCGAGCTCCAATGACGCAGTGGGAACAGCCCGGTGAAAACTCGTGCTATGCTGTGGAGATGCAGGAAATCCACATCTTTGACAACAATGTCCACAATAAGCTATTAGTGCCTTACTAGTAGAAACAATAAGCTATTAGTTAATTCATTTTTGTTTAATTCTAATAGCTTCTTGTTACTACTAGTAAGGCACCTGTTACTAGTAGCGATGCACTTGTTACTAGTAGCTGTAAAGTCCTAAGTTGTTCCACCGATCCCGAACAAACAAATCAGCGAGGCTGATTTGTCGCCTGATCCCCATCGGTCAAGAACTTGGCGGGCAAGATCGGAGCTTCGTTGGGGCCAAGGCGTTGCACCGGCACTTGTGCCAGCATCATGGAATTCAGCAAGACCTTGGTGGTAAGGTAAGTTACCATGTCAGGCCAAGCAAGAAGCCCGGCACAGCCCTGCACAGTTTTCCTGCACCCTTTGAGTTCAAGATCCCACACCCCCACATTTTAGCTGACCCCATGGTCGCTCATGCGCCGAGGATCACTTTCTGGATTCAACGGTACATTTGTGCGTTGGCGTTGGACATCAACCAAGCTGTCGAAGGCGAAGCGCATGAATTGCAAAGGCATTGTGAAATATCCCAGCATGTTTCCTGCGGCCGATGATTTGATGTAATAACCACAGATTTCCAAAGAGAATCTGATGATTCGATTGTTTTGACTGCCATTCGAATGTTTCCCAGCTACGTGCGATCACTCAGCCGTCTCCTGTCCCCAGAACGATGGCCCCTTTGTCGTTGAGGCCATTACAATCGGCGCAGCTTGGCGCATGCACCCCAAAGGAATCAGGCAGCTCGAAGGTTTCCAGAATAGCATCGTCGTCACCTCGCACTCTGGTGCCCGATGTAACCAGAGGCAGCAAAATGGGAGGAATCCGGGTGTAAGTTCCAAAATCAAAAAAGAGATGAACTCACAGGAACCCGGTAACCTTGCGAACATTATTCTGGCATTGTTCGGGTTCCACCCGCCAAAATCGAGAACTCAGTCAGAACTTTTTGATGCTCTACTAGGTACATCAGCTGAGGACGGTCCGGCTTTCTCACTGGGTCCCAAAGTCTATGTCGTTGAACCAGCGCTTTCCCCGAAAATGAGACAACAAAACCTTGAGGACTCGTTGCTCAGGCAAGGGGCGGAGTCGGATCGCAACATCTGGCAAGATCAAATTGTTCATCAACTCCCAACAGCGTTGCATCGCTTCCCACTGCCTGGGGCTAAGTTGAAACACTTCGACCCTGAGAATTGAGTTAAATTAAGTGGTTTCTGTTTCATCCTTTTAAGTATCATCTATCATTGTTACAATTCACGCGTCCGGTGTGACTTGGACAGCAAGTGGGCGACGTGGTCTTCTTTGGTCACCAGGGTTCAGCAAACTGCAGGACTACTCCTTGAATGTGCAAGTGTGTTTTTCCCCACATGCTAGTGCAGGGGTCTGGTCTACACTGTAATTACCTGCCATCTGAGTAAGGGTGAGACTATGAAGAGTGTGGGGGTCTTACTTTCTCTCGTGTCTTCCTGGCGACCTCCTCCTTCTCCTCCCGCCAGTCTTCCTAACTTACACTCACTCACACCAACTTATTCACACCAACTCACTCACACCAACTTACACGCATCGGAATATATACACGCCAACTTAGTCACAGCAACTTACACACACGCACACACACCAACCTCACCCACACCACACACCAACTCCCACACATCAAGGCATTCACACCAATTCACTCACGCCAAAACTCTCACACACCAATCCGTCCGCACCGAAGGTGCTGAGGCGTTAAGCTGTAAAAAGTCCGTTCATCGCCACGGCGTTCATCGCCGTTTGGGGCGAAAATGCATGTTCTGCATCAGGAGCTGCGTCGGGGAGACGAGCGGGAGTGGTTTTCACATATCATCTATGCCTGACAATCTTTGTCATTTTCGTATCATTTGCACCACCACGGCCATGAAAGGCAACCCAACGACTCCACTCAACCGTCTATGTCTGAATGTAGCTTTCATGATTGCATCATATGCATCAACTGGTTGCAATGTGCAAACTGCAAACTAGTATAATTTGGACTCTGGACCCCATTTCATTTGCGTACGCCAAGGGCAGTTGCCTGCGGCGCGCCGTGCATCTAATTTCACGCTAAGCCCACCGGAAACGGGTGGTGGACCCCACCAGGGCAAAAGCAAGGCCACTGTTCTTGCGCCCGATCCAACCAAATAACAGGAAGATAAACCCAACATGTCGGTGCGTCAGGATATTCTTGCGGCACCAAGGCCATTCCTAACCCACAACTCATTTTCACTTTTACTGACAACCTTTGCTCCTTCAACCTTCGCTTCTTTGGCTTCCACGGCTCCAAAGAAATTTATGCTCCATTCCACTGTCCACCAAGTTTGTGTGTTGCTGAAGATCACCGTCTCAAGCTTTAAACTTCCGCACTGAGCTCTTGGTAGCTGAAGGTCACCGTCTCAACGTGTCAAGCTTTGAGTTATCACTTTCTCCGGGCTTTTGTGTAGCCGAAGGTCACAGTCTCAAGCTTGAATGTTCAATTTCATTCCAGGGGGTCGAACAATAGATCCAACAATGTTTGCAATGTGCAAGTAAGACATAACTAAACAGTGTATCAACGGGCTGTAAAAAAATAGAGTAAAATATTCCCTACTTCTGAAACCCTCTCTCTCGAGCCTCTGGTGCGGGCGGTTGTCGTCGCGAAGCGACGTCAAAATACAAATATAAACGTATATGCTGCTCTGCAGGGAGTGGGAGTCATCATGTCATTATTCTCCATTACACCAACCTCTCACCCGACCAAGTTGGCAGCATTGACCGTTCGAATGACGTGATCAGCCATCCTGATATGAGGCAAAGACATCTACAAAACAAATGAATTTGATAATTCTGTATAAGTATTCATATCTATATTAAAGTCTATATCCAGTTGGGGCGGTTGTCCCCACACCTACAGCTGCACGTCGTGTTGATGTTGTCAAAACAGCCCCACAAGACTTCACTCGGGTCCCTTGGCGCCTCACGTGAGAGCGAGCGCGTTCCAGCGCTCCCTCCAGTGCTGCTGTCTGGTTCAGTGCCCTTAGGATGGCAAATTTGTGCTGTATGTCAAGCTACTTCTTAACGTCATGATGATGGAGTTCTGTCCCTCATCATCATGATATATATATATATATGTATATATGTATTCTGGAATGAGGTGCACATATCTCTGAAGGCTTCAGATGAGGCTCATCCCTGCGGCATAGCGTGGATCTATCGGAAAGTCTTGGGCCATGAAGGGATCAAAAACCACAGACACACCAGAGGGGAAGGCATCCACAGTGTCACTCAAACTCTGGTAAGGCCCTTCCATGATGGTGAAGTTGCCAATGCGTTCCTCAGAGCTCAAACGTCAATCACGACGTCTTCAAAGTTTGGGATTGCCTGCCAAAGCTTGCTGTGTGCATGAACTTATCACCTGGAACCTATGCTACCAAAGCACCCCTGCACCACGGTGAATAAAGGCGGTGTTGTTCCGTGGGTCAAGGACCAAGAGAACCTAGCATGGTGCGACGTCCAAAGTGATATGGCTTTGCAAGAGAAAGCTATGCAAGTTGGCAATGCTTAAGACTCTTTTGCGCTTGTGCGGAACGAACACGGCAAAAGCATGATGCGCTGCCGGATTTCCTATCAAGGAGTTGGCACCTACCCAGGACCTTGCAAACAAAAGCCAGGGGTGGAGATTGTAGGGCATGCGAAAGGCTTGGCAGGGGCTTTACATGCTTGGCATTGTTGGCAACTATCGCTGCACCTCCACCCGAGCGCCACCAGCCATCAATGGAAGGATCAAGCGATTGATCTGGCGCGAAAGGATTTAGACGAAGATCGAAAGTCTACTACAACAGCTACTATGCTCGTCTTACCCTTGCTGTGCTCGCATGTCTTGAGGGTAGTAGGATGTCTACAAACATCTGTAACTTCAAGCTGCAGCAAAACCATTGGCCTTTGTGCGGAGCTCCAACCGACGGATCTGACCCGTGATGCACAAAGAGATTTTCTTCTGCTTATCCTCAGAAAACTGCCCACCAACAGAACAGTGTCGTTTCGCAGCTCTGTTCCTATTTTACAAATCCCAAGCAAAACCATGCCTTGCCAATGCTTTGTAGTGGCACAAGCCGAGCTAAAGCTTGTACTGTCAAACTACTGCAAGATATAGCATGGGTTGCAACACTATCAGGCAAAATGAACATCAATGGTAATAGTATGTTTGATCATCAAACAATTCTTGTGATGTCTTATCGGAGAGAGATCTTCATGTCTTAGAGCTTCTAAACCCAACACAATCATCGCAATGGCTCAATGGCTCAATGGCTCAGAAGACTTTAAGGAACCTAATAGTGATGGCATGTGATGGCCTCCAAATTCCATGCTACTGCATCAAAACAAAGGCCCGCGGCTATTGCTTTACCCATGGTTGCTGTGCATGGTCAGGCCAGGAGACATGTGGAGCATCAGCATCTTCTGGGTCTTCACCTTGGCTGTGAAACTTAGTAATTACCAGAGACATCCAGAGACACTTGCTTTCTCCGCGAAAAAGTCACTCTTCAGTCTTCAAGTCAACTTCAACTACCTCTTGTCAACATTCGAGTAGGTTCTTCGTCTTAGACTAGGGGTCGTTTTAAATCTCTTTTGGCCTGACGAAAGCTGCTCAGTCACTCGTCCGCGTCACGCCCTTGCCACTGATTCGAGGGAATGGGACGTAGTGCTCAGGAGCCGGAGCGCCCAGAAACATTGCAACTGACGTGGTGTTCAACGTCTGCGGCTCAAAGACGTTGATCTCCTAACGAAATGCAAAACAGAAATTGACAGAAATCAAAAATCTGAGTCGGACATATATTTACACAATCAGTGCCCCACTCTACAGGTCTCTTCTGGAGATGTTTGACTTATAAAGTGACTTGATGAAGGCTGAAAGTTCCTTTTGCATACAAATCGTACACTTGTCATCATTTGTCTAGTGATTTGTCTCTTCTTGTGTTGTTTTGCTGTTCAAAAAGCACAAAGTTT